AATACCTACCTACCTACCTACCTACCTACCTACCTACCTACCTACCTACATACATACATACATACCTACATACCTACATACCTACATACCTACATACCTACATACATACATACATACATACATACATAATTTTTAAAATGCAGTAGACTACTTTCCACATTTGTGTTTTAAATGATTTCTTACTGTATGTGATTAAAGTCATCCAGAACTATGAAGACTGATTATGTCTATGAGCTGTGCTATACAAAAAGTGTTAGCTATGTAATTTGTACAAAACCAAGCATTAGTCATATGTACAGGAGAGCCATTTAAATTAACAAGGATTTAAAAAAATCTAAAGTCACACAGTCCCATTGATTTGAATTACAACTAAATGCTGGATTTAGCTCAGACATCAAAAGCAAAAATGCTCTTGCAAAGGTCTCCCAGAAGTGTTTCTGTTTTGCCATACTACGTAAAGAACACACAAAATAGATGTTAGGTGTCTTGGAAGAAAATGGGGGGGGGGACCCCAAATGCCATAAACAAATATAGATTTCCTTCTTCATTCAGCCAGAGTGTGCATACACCAAGGCCCACCAAGCATTAAGTTAAACATCAGTCTTTCATACTCCCTTGCTCGTTCCTTCCATTTATATGCTGGTCAGACACACAGCTCAAAAGGCTTTCCTCCCGAGAAATGGCATCGTATTATTTGTTAATTATGCTTTCACATTAATGTGATCCAAGTACAATTGAAAGAAGACAATTTAAGTACAGAATCATTAACACAGCCCAGCAGTTCAGAAAAAAGACTTTGAACAAATCACAGTAATTTAGTATGTTATTACAGCGTTTAGCTGGGGCATGACTGAATTGGAACGGGCGAGGAGTGACATTTAAATAGGGCCAACAATTTGTTGTTGTTTAGTCGTTAAGTCATGTCCGACTCTTTGTGACCCCATGGACCACGCCAGGCCCTCCTGTCTTCCACTGCCTCCCGGAGTTGGGTCAAAGTCATGTTGGTAGCTTCAGTGACACTGTCCAACCATCTCGTCCTCTGTCATCCCCTTCTTCTCTTACCCTCACACTTTCCCAACATCAGGGTCTTTTCCAGGGAGTCTTCACTTCTCATGAGATGGCCAAAGTATTGGAGCCTTAGCTTCAGGATCTGTCCTTCCAGTGAGCACTCAGGGTTGATTTCCTTTAGAATGGATAGGTTTGATCTCCCTGCATTCCAGGGAACTCTCCTCCAGCATCACAATTCAAAAGCACCAATTCTTCAGTGGCCAGCCTTCTTTATGGTCCAGCTCTCACTGCTCCAGCACTACAATTCAAAAGCATCAATTATTTGGTGGTCGGTCTTCTTTATGGTCCAGCTCTCACTTCCATACATCATTACTGGAAAAACCATAGCTTTGATTATGCGAACCTTTGTCGGCAAGGTGATGTCTTTGTTTTTTAAGATGCTGTCTAGGTTTGTCATCGCTTTCCTCCCAAAAAGCAGGCATCTTTTAATTTTGTGGCTGCTGTCACCATCTGCAGTGATCATGGAACCCAAGAAAGTAAAATTTGTCACTGCTTCCATATCTTCCCCTTCTATTTCCCAGGAGGTGATTGGACCAGTGGCCATGATCTTAGTTTTTTTGATGCTGAGCTTCATGCCAATTTTGACGCCTTCCTCTTTCACCCTCATTACGAAGTTCTTTAATTCCTCCTCACTTTTTGCCATCAGAGTGCTATCCTCTGCATATCTGTTGTTGATATTTCTTCCGGTAATCTTAATTCCGGCTTGGGATTCATCCAGTTCTGCCTTTCGTATGATTTATTCTATATATAAGCAGGGAAACAATATACAGCCCTGTCGTACTCCTTTCCCAATTTTGAACCAATCAGTTGTTCCATATCCAGTTCTACCCGTTGCTTTCTGTCCCACGTATAGATTTCTCAGAAGATAGGTAAGTTGGTCAGGCACTCTCATTTTTTAAGGACTTGCCATAGTTTGCTGTGGTCCACACAATCAAAGGCTTTTGCATAGTCAACGAAGCAGAAGTAGATGTTTTTCTGGAACTCTCTGGCTTTCTCCATAATCCAGCGCATGTTAGCAATTTGGTCTCTAGTTCCTCTGCCCCTTTGAAATCCTGCTTGTACTTCTGGGAGTTCTTGGTCCACATACTGCCGAAGCCTACTTCGTAGTAGTTTGAGCATAACCTTGCTAGCATGTGAAATGAGTGCAATTGTACGCTAGTTGGAGCATTCTTTGGCACTGCCCTTCTTTGGGATTGGGATGTAGACTGATCTTTTCCAATCCGCTCACCACTGCTGAGTTTTCCAAACTTGCTGACATATTAAGTGTAACACCTTAACAGCGTCATCTTTTAAGATTTCAAATAGTTCAAGTGGAATGCCATCACCTCCACTGCCCTTGTTGTTAGCTATGCTTTATAAGGCCCACTTGACTTCAGCGTTGGAAGTCAGCATTTAATTTTCTGTAACTTTCCCTATCTCCCTTGCATTTTGTTTCCCTTTTCTTGTCTGCTATTTGTAAGGCCTTGTTGGACAGCCACTTAGATTTCTCGCATTTCCTTTTCATTTGGGATGGTTTTTGTTGCTGCCTCCTGTACACTGCTACGAGCCTCCATCCATAATTCTTCAGGCACTCTGTCCACCAAATCTAGTTCCTTAAATCTGTTCTTCATTTCCACTGTGTATTCATAAGGGATTTGGTTTAGATTATACTCGACTAGCCCAGTGGTTTTTCCTACTTTCTTCAGTTTAAGCTTGAGTTTTGCCATACGTAGCTGATGATCAGAGGCACAATCAGCTCCAGGTTTTGTTTTTGCTGACTGTATAGGGCTTCTCCATCATTGGCTGTAGAGAATATAATCGATCTGATTTCGGTATTACCCATCTGGTGATGTCCGTGTGTAGAGTCGCCTCTTGTGTTGTTGGAAGTGTGTGTTTGTGATGACCAAACTCTGTTAGCCTTTGCCCTGCTTCGTTTTGAACTCCAAGGCCAAACTTAGCTGTTGTTCCTTTTAGCTCTTGACTCCCTACTTTAGCATTCCAATCCCCTTTGATGAGAAGAACATCTTTCTTTGGTGTCAGTTGTAGAAGGTGTTGTAAATCTTCATAGAACTGCTCAATTTAAGCCTCTTCAGCATCAGTGGTTGGTGCATACACATGGATTACTGTGATGTTGAAAGGTCTGCCTTGGACTTGTACTGAAATCATTCTATCATTTTTTTTGATTGTATCCTAGTACAGTTTTTCCCACTCTTTTGTTGACTATGAGGGCTACTTCGTTTCTTCTATGGGATTCTTGCCCACAATACTAGATATGATAATCGTCTGAATTGAATTTGTCCATTCACTTCCATTTTAGTTCACTGACTCCCAGGATGTCAATGTTTATTCTTGCCATCTCCTGTTTGACCACATTCCAGGTTCCTATGCGGTATTTTTCTTTGCAGCATCAGACATTCCTTTCACTCCCAGGTGCATCCATAGCTGAGTGTCCTTTCGGCTTTGGCCCATTCACTTAATTAGTTCTGGAGCTACTTGTACTTGTCCTCCTCTCTTCCTCAGTGGCATGTTGGATGCCTTCTGACCTGAGGGTCCCATCTTCCAGTGTCATATCTTTTAGCCTTTTGTTTCTGTCCATGGAGTTTTCTTGGAAAAGATACTGGAGTGGCTTGCCAGTTCCTGCTCCAGGTGGATCGCGTTTAGTCAGAACTCTCCGCTATGACCTGTCCATCTTGGGAGTCCCTGCATGGCATAGCCCATAGCTTCTCGGAGTTACTCAAGCCCCTCTGCCATGACAAGGCAGCAGTCAGTGAAGGGGAGGGCCAACAGTAGAGGGGGTTTATTCAGTCCTGAATGTGATTATCCATATAATAATACAGAACAAAGCAAAAGGATCTGCCTATGATCTTACCTGAGCAGACATACTCTTTTTTCTGAACATCTGCAACATTAAACCCTCTCAGATGAACAGGTGCCATGCAAAAGGTGAACTGTCCCACAGATCGCCGTTGACGCAGCCAATCAGAAAGCCAAGCCAGGTGGCAGTCACAGTACAAGTAATTGGAGTGAAGCCGTCTGCAATGGAGAGAAAGAGACTGAATGACCTTCCACATCCCAAAATGTAACAATATGCAATCCAATGTACCATCCTATGATCTGTGCTCATTTTGTGCACCAATGACATTGCGTTGATTTTTGTATATGAGTGGGATAAACTGCCATTCCCAACTAGAGCAGACACCCACTGAAATGAATTTAAGGGGACTAACACAGTATATAGCTCACTCCCTGTACATTAACTTGACATCTGAAGAGTATGTACAGAACCCCAAATATATGTTTGAATGAATGAATGAATGAATGAATGAGTGAATGAATGAATGGACATAACAATGCATAGAGACTTCACGGAAATCAATGTCATTACTAAGGATGCCTCCATTTAGTAAATCAATAGCGTTTCGGGGGGCTTTTTTTTAAGGTAAGCAATAATGACTCAGCAAGTATTAATTTAGAGCAGTGGTTCTTAACCTTTGTTACTCAGGTATTTTTGAACTGCAACTCCCAGAAACCTCAGCCAGCAGAGCTGATGGTGAAAGCTTCTGGGAGTTGCAGTCCAAAAACATCTGAGTAACAAAGGTTAAGAACCAGTGATTCAGAGACTAGGAAAATAACCAACAAGGTGCCTCTGACTACATCAAAGCACTGATTTTGATTACTGAAACTGCTGGTATGATTTAATAAGTTGGAGCACCTGGCTACAGAGCTGGAGTCCAGGAGTTTGAAGCCCTACTGTGACTCCCAGGAGAAGGGCCAGCTGAGATGATTAGATCACATGTTCAGAGTGATGATTAGATCACATGTTCTGCCACATGTGTGGCTTTGGGCAAGCTGCATGACCCCAGAGCACTTGCAGAAGTGTACTTCTTCTTACACTTGTACTTCCAAGTGTAAAGTACGTTGGAGTACTTTATACTTGGAAAATTTTGGGCAGGTCACCGTAATCTGGAATCAAAAACACATAAGAGTGCTAACTTCTATACTACTACTACTAACAAATTTGATAGTTACATTGCAAGAATTATGGTGCACAGAAGATGATATCCAACTGGTGTTCCTTTGCAGATAGAAAGCATTTGTATGGAACACAAGGATTGGTTACTGTTTTTCCTATCTCCTGACCTCCATTCATTTCTCAAAATCTAGTCTCCCGAGAGAGCTGAGGAACCTCTTGGAACAGCATGGGAAGTGTCATATGAGGTATGGTAGACTGAGAGAGGAGAAGAAAATATAAGTCACTCCCTTCCCATTTTGCCTTTTTTTCAGAATAACAAAAGGATCTCATTGAGAGTGCCTAAGTATTTTTGGTCAAGCCTTAGTTTCCCAAAGGCAAAGATGTTTTTCATATACCTTCCTATCCAATTTAAGAAAAGCTGTGGTAATTCTTACTTTATAGCAGTCTATACTTTGGGAGCCTAAATGACATATCGGTACTTCAACCTCATGGCTTCTGTCGCACTGTCTAGAGAAAACGTTCTATAACAGAAAAATGAAGTAGCCAGAGTGTGCAAATAAACTATCAAATATTTCATCCCTTCTCTATGAGTCATGACAGTCAGGCATTAAAGGGAAGCTCCCAAGACAATACTGTCATTTCTGCAGGACAGGGTTGAAGAAAGCACGCCTTTTTGACAGATTAACATTACATGTTACATTGAAAAATACAAAATGCTGTAAAGCAACCTACTCCATCTCCAAAATAAATCAACAGGGTGAGAGATTCTGACATTGAGTCTGTTGCAACTGAGTTCAGCAGCGGCGCCTAAACCGACAGTCTCTAGATTTGTCTCTGTCTTTGGTGTACTACAAGGCTTTTTGGCCTGGAAGTTTTCAGAAATCATGTATTTGCTATATCCAATAAATTTTAAATCCCCTGACCTTCACGGCTGATGCTAAAAAGCATACATATCCATTCATCAAAGATTCAATCAGGTTATGGCAAATGGTGAGTTCACAACGGATACTTTTAAAGTACGTAGTGGAGGTTTATGAATTAACAGAAATCCTTTGCACATTTACTCAAAAGAAGGGGAATTATTTATGCATTTCTCCTCCTTTAATTATCTAGCTTTAAAATTAAAAAATGTATTTTATAAATTTCCATGTTGACAAAACTGCAGTACAGGTGCCTTTCGGCTGCCCTACTTAAGGTATGGCATGACTTTAATTTTTTTTTAATATCTCATGATTTTACTGACAACACATTCACATCAAAAGAACTTCAAAAATTAACAAGTGCAAAAGTCCAACTATATTATGGTAGGATTTGGATTTGAAAGGATATTGGTCCTAATCCAGAAAAGTCAGTGATGTTAAATCCCTTTGGAATTACTGTTTGACCCTGCTGAGGAATCTTGCTTTACTGAGCAACCCTTTTATTATCTCACCCCACAAATTATATCTCCTGAATCAGGGATGAGGTTCATACCTTAGCCATTAGCATTACCTGTGCTGGCCAGGGTGGTGGGAGTTAATAGCACAAGATCTGGAGGGCTACAAACTGCCATCTATTGCTCTTAGTCCATTTGTTGTGGATCTCCAAGGATCCAAAATTGCCTATTCAAGATATGAAAATATTTCCACACCTTCTGTGTTCAAGATGAATCTCACAGATTTCCAGGTGTTAAACTGCAACTACTTTACCTGTGCTGAAATTCAACAGCATACAGTGCCAAATTTCCAGCAATGCAAGCCCACACGAAACACTCTCTCATGCTTTCAAACATGGAGACTGTTATATTTGGCATGATAAATATATGAGCACAGTTCGACTTCAAGAGGAATGCCTGTGAATTGTTACTGTCTTTTTTTAGGCCTTTATCTATACAAACCCACAATTATGACTGCAACAGTTCATTCGTTCACTGATGCAGAAACAGCAGGAGAGTCAACATTATGAAAATGAAGAAAAATGAATGCAGTGCCTCATTTTGCATAAACGTAGCTATTTCATCAAAAGGAAGGCACATCAGTATAAACTAATTCTTGCCTAATATGGGAGGGGGTGTGTGCTTTAAAAGAAACAACAACAATAGGAAAAGAAAGCTTCGGGAGGGAGGAAAGCCCATGGAAGAGCAGATCATTAATAACAGCAAACATTTATTTATTGCTATGTCTGTGTTGGTCAATTTATCTTCCTTTGGAAGTCAAGCTGAAATTAAATAATGTTTTTCTTCTGTATTCCAAATGGCAGTTTGTTTGTTTGCTTTTCAAATCATTAAAAGGTTGAAACGGACAGTCTAAAAATGCCAAAAAAATGCAGGATATAGGCCAAACCTAGTTACAATGATGCAAAAGGTAGGATTTAAAAAAAACCCTAAAGGAATCAAGCAAGTAACAGTACACTGAGTGACTCCCATTGATTTAAGTGGTAGAAAGAACAAGCATCAAACTTCCAATTTCCACTGCAGTCAAAGGGACTTAAAAGTGCTTACATTTGCTGTGTTATTATTCTGGACATACAGTATCTGTTAACACAGGAGCGAAGCATAAATTCTGTGACATGGCAGGTAGGTTCAGGGAACATTCATGGGGAATGTCAGATATTATCCAACAAGAGTGATAACGGTCCACCCTCGGAAGATAGCATCTGGTCTTTGATGTTCTAGCCACAGCGGAGCATTAAACCCTGGAGGTTTATCCCGTGGTTCCTTCCTTGAGGTTAGATCCTGACCTCTGGCTAGCAGGAAAAGGGGGTGGTGGGAGTTGTACTGCTGGTCAAGGAGGCAGTTGCTGCAAATTCATGCACCCTCCAATTCAAAGTCTCACTCTCTATTGCCAGGGAGCAGGGATGGTGGAGATTTAACTAGCCATGGAGTTCCTCTAAGTAAACAAATTTGGCTGCATTGCTTACAGTAGAAGGGACTCTTTTTTTCCTGATACAGAAGGGGAACCCTAGTGATTTCCTCTTTATTTCTGCCCGGGCAGCTGAAGTGCTATAAGGCATAAGAAAGATGAGAGGCTCTGAAATGTAATGGCTCTGTTAAAGAGCATAGGACTGCTCTCAAAATTAGGTAATACCTTGTTCAATCACACAGAAAGTGTAGATAGTTCATGGAGTCTACTTAAAAAAAGTATTGCACTTGGGTAAATGGCACACTGGATTGTAGTCATAGTGGTAAGAGGGCCATAATTATTCCTTTCATTAACAAAAAATAAGAAGAAATGTTAAATGGTGTAGAAATATTAACTAACACGTTCAGAAGCATCTCTAACAATTTTTGAATATAATTCATTTTCCTTCAATAATACTCTAATGAAGGCAATTAGAAATATTATTTATCTCTATCATGAATGCTTATTTTATAGTTATTCTTCCTCTGATAGCACTGATGCCTATAATGAAAGAGATGAAATATACAATGAAAAATGTAACCACTTTGTTTTCATCAAGAGAAGGATTACTTAGGAGGTTACTGCAAAATTACTTGGCAGTACACAGCAAGTGAAAAATGCCACTTAAAATGGGTGGAAGGACATTTGTAGCACACAAAAGAAGAACGAATGCACATTCTAGTTTTTAAAGGTGACCTTTTAGTCACAGGCCAAATTAAATTTCCAGAATATTTTTTGGGGCCAGCCTTCAAGTATTACAAAATGTAACTCTCAAAATTCAATACAAAAGCTTTTCTTTAAATCCCATTTACAACTTCCTTCCTTCCTTTCCCTTTAATTACAGCGAAAGGGAATTAGTCAATACAAGTCTCTAGGGAGCTACATACAAAGCCATCTTTTAAATTGAACTAAAAGGAAAATGGCAGCAGACAGTATGGTCTGCTACTCACACAGAATGATTGATTTGAAATAACAAAAAAAATGACTCTAGGGTATTGTAAGAAAAATACTAAAAAATATAAGTAGTTCCTAATTAAACAGTATCATTTGAATGATGTAAACAGTCTTTCAAATAATACTGTTCTAGAAAGGAATGAAAATATTTTGGAATATACCCACTGCTGGAATTAGCAATTCACTAAACTGGGCAAAAAATAACCACACTGGTTACACTGTCAGGGTCACTAGAACTGCAAGAACTTCAGACATGATCAGATTTGAATGACTCGTGACCCAACAAACAAGACAAATTGACTAAACATGTACTGCAGTCTACAAGGGCTGTAACACTCTTGCTGTATTCACAGTCCAAGGTAGGCCATTTATTGATCAGTTGGGTGACTAATACATGTAGTTGGGAACCTGTATCTGCCATGGAAGAATGACAGATTTCCTGCTTTGAAATAGGAATGCATATTGATAAAGACATGTGGGGGAGAGGCACACTGATTCGACATTTGCTAGTAACATTTGGCTAAACCACAGAGACTGTAGCACTTGAAACATTTTAAATGGAAAAGGCCTTGTCACGGGGGGGGGGAGGTAATTTAACTGGGCAGACATAAAACAGCTATCTTGGGCAATGACTCTTCCTTCCCAACCACAAAGCTTGGAGCAGGTCAGGTCTCCATTGAACTGTATGTCCTCAATTCTGCTGTAAACAATTACAGTGCCTTTGGCAATCTGATGCCTAAATGGAAGGGGGAATGTATGCTATAGCACGTGGCCTCACAGTGTATCACAACCATAGCATGGTAAAAAAAAAGAAGACATATGTGTGTACTGAGGAGGCACTATATCAGATGAAATCATATGCTTCTACCAGTAGTTCCTAATCTTGAGTCCCCAGAAACCTTCACTATTAGCTGTGCTGGCCAGATGTCTGGGAGTTTAATATGAGAAGCCAAGCTTGGCAACCACTGGCTTATGTGAAAACAACCTCGATGTCGCCTTGCCCAGACAACCTGTGCCCAATTTTCTAAAGCCCCAGTTGCAGAAAAAAACAACTTCTGATCATCTCTCACATACAGCTTGGCTGCTAAGGCAGTGTACAATGAACCACAAAGCCCCTGGTTAAAAAGTTGTCTCAGCTATGAGTCTCAGATCTTTACCACCAACTGGTAGATAATCATGATGACTATTGCAGAAACGACTGAGATGCTGAGCACTCTGAAAAAAGTGTGCCTTTGGTCCCACCACCAGGAGTTCTGCTTAAGGGACACTCCATGCAACAGGGGGAAAAATGGAGGCAATTATTGTTAATTTCCTTCTCCCTCTTTCAATCCCTTACACACAGCTGGGGGCAGGTTAAAACCGCTTCCTTCTCCTTCCACCAGCGGAGTTGAAAGCTGTCTTTGGATAAATGGACCTCTTCCATTTTTAAAAGCCAAATTGTTTTTCTAACTAGGCACTACTAACTGACTTCAGTAATATTTGTATGTTCTATGACTATACTAGGCAGGGATTCCTCCCTGTTCACTTTTTCAGTGTGGCCTTCTCCAATCCCACCCCTCAAAACATGATGGTCTTACATATTAGGCTGCCCAAGCATATGTCCAAAGACTGATTCATTCTGACATGAAATCTAGGGTTTTGTCTTGCAGCTATAAATGTCATCAGTTGCACCCTACTTTCAGCTTAGGTCTCCATATACTGAAATGGAACAGCAACCAAAAGCATCGGACATTCTCTCCAAATAAGTAATAATGTTCCATTTATTTAAAATGTGTTAAACAACAGATAAGAAAGAATCCGTGACTGTCAATTAGAACACTGACTGCATCAAAATGGAGTACTTACAGAGTCCTGATCTTTGGCATATGGTTGAAGCTGGTGAGAGGGATGCGTGTGATGTTGTTGTTATTGAGGGTACTGCGAAGAAAGGAAAACAAACACAGATGGACTGGATCAGCAGCAGTATTTTGACAGAACTATTTATGGAAACAAGTATAATTTGCAACAACAACAACAAGAAGAAAAGAACGTGAACAATATGAATGCAATTAGAAAGGCATTTTTATTGTAAATACCAATATGCATGCAGACAGAAACAAAATACTAACTTGGAACTCTAAGGCAAACAGAACAAAACACTCTAAGTGCCAGTATACATAATGTGAAGGAATCCCGTTGATACAGCATGGCAGTAGCTGTGGTGCTTATGTGCCTTCTTAACAGACATCGAAGATATTAAATGCTGCCACCACAAAGGGCAATTCTGTAGTGCACCAAATGTCATCCTAAGGGAAATAAATGAATTGTTCTGGAAGCAGAAACAATCAATGAATAGGACCGCCACAGTCATTCATAGTAGCAGGCAGCTGAGGAACTGAAGCCTCCCCTTAAAAACAAACAAACACATAATTTGAAACAAATCTCATTCTTTTGCTTCCTGTCTCTGTCTGATGGAGCCAGAGTGGACCATTCCTAGCCATCCAGATGTTGTTAGCCTGCAACTCCCATAACGCCCATCACTGCTTATGTTGGCTGAGATTGATGAGAGCTGCTATTCCAACAACACTGAGAGGGACAGACATTGTTCACTTGGATGAATGGTAGAGGCAGAGGCAGGAGATTTGACAGATCTTATTGCTTTCAGTGGCCCTCAATTTGTGTCCCTGAGCAAGCTATTTGCCTCCTGGTCTCTCTCTCTATATATATTATCTACAGTTTAAAAAACCAGTCTTCAAACATTTGCTGGGGAACTGTTGTCATCTGGTAGGATGCTAGTGTGCTCATGTACTTCCTGTTGATTTACCAAAAACACCAGGTTGTCACTGTGGGAATAAAGTGAATGTCTAGATAGGGAGTTGGTTTGATATTACACACTTAATTTCATATTCAGTGAACATTACAATGGGGTAGGGGGAAACAGAGGGAGTTTCCTTGAAGAATTTGGGCATATAGGCATCCTCTGGGTAACAACAGCACCCAGCTGGCTGATCACATACTGGAACCATGACTGCTCACCTGTGTAGCAACAGAAACTGTGCGACAACCCAATTCAGCATTTCAAAAACTAAGTGGACTCCCAAATAAAGACGTATAACTGAAATTGAACCTCAGATCACCACTACCATTCACTCTGACAATTGCTTTGTCTTTGGGTGAGAGGTGGTTAAATGGTGAAAATAATGAGTTAGTGTGGTGATCGACCTTGTTGCCCCTGTTTATTTTGGCTCTCACAAAGGATCACACCCTTTTCCTTCACGCTGCTACCAAGTATTCTCCTAATACCAAATTATGTTATATACATGTGCTGCCAACACTGAGGGTTATTGAACTTAGGAATCAGAGGTTTAAATAGCAAATATTCTTTTATTGTCAAGTAAATCATAAAGGTAAATCACATATGAACTGTATCAGGTATTAACACATATTGGATCATGTAGGCAATAACTTTTATTCCAAACTGCTATATACTTTCAAGCAATATCTCTCTTATAGTGCTTATAATTTCATTCCTGCTTGCTCAATATTGTTTAACCTTCTCAATTCCCTCTCCTAACACTCTCAGCTCAATTCACTAACCCTCTTCTTCTCTCTCCTAAACCCTAACTGCCATTTCACATCTCCAACTCTGCCCCTCCTGCCCTATCCTTGGCTCCTCCCTCTTGAGCTTCTGTGATGGACAGGCAGGAATGACGTCACCTGTAGGCATTTTGCTACAGTTAGCTTCTGGGATTTTCCCTTGTTTGGTATCACTTTATGAACAGTAGTGAGCACAAGAGGGTATCCTGTAGACCAGTGGTCCCCAACCTTGGGCCTCCAGAAGCTCTTGGACTACAACTCCCAGAAGCCTTCACCACCACCTATGCTGGTCAGGATTTCTGGGAGTTGAAGTCCAAGAACATCCAGAGGCCCAAGGTTGGGGACCACTGTTGTAGACCTTCTTGACTGCTGCCATTGGTATTGTTGGCATTCATGCTGCCCTTTGCTATGTAAAGCTTGCCATCCTTTCTCCTGCTGGCAACTCAGGCCATTTCCCGGCTTGTTGAATCATGGGTACTGAAGCACAATATCTCACATTTATAAATGGTAGGACTCTTTAAAAACTGAATTGTTTCTGACACAAATGGATAAGAAGAATTATACTAGCAAAATAAGTGAAGTAGCAGTTTGTTATTTGAAGCTCTGCCCCTTGTTCTCTTGTATTCAGGGGTAAACTATAAAAGTTGCTATGATGATGACACTCATAACTCCCCCTCATAGCTTATTCAAAAGGGATATGTTTAGGTGGAGTAGGATTTTTTTAAAAAAATCTTTAACAAGTCTGCAATTTCAGTTTAGATTAGGGACTCTCTCTGTGTGTAATTTGCATGGCTAAATTTGTTAGAGTTTGCAGCTATGGACAGTTCACTTGTTGCTGTTCAATCCAGCTTTTCGTTTCCAATAGCAACCAGCCAAATATCTCTGAGATGTGTAATGTCAGACTGTTAAGACTGACATGAAAGGTTTTACCCAGAATATTTAGATGCACCTTATTTCTATATAAAGTAGCTTCCATCTTCCTGTCACAGTAGATCAGAACGGCTTCCAAGGGCACAGCTAACTGTTAAGAGGAACTCTACATAAGTGGAAATGAAAGAAAGTAGCGTGAGAGGGCTTTAGATGGATAGATGGCAGCCTACTATTTGAGGAATTTCTAAAATGACAATATTTCCCAAGTAGCCTACCATATTGGACTGAACTAAATGCAATCTCAGAAGTTAAAAACCCCCAAAATGTTTGCCATTTGGGAACCAGATTTTCAATGTGTTTCTTTCAAGAGTAAGGACATTTTTCAGGGAAAGGTGCCTTAGGTATGAACTGTAGGGCAATAAAACAGCTGGAGATGCCACTTAGCCTTTATGGCTGCAAGCTATTCATACTGATTAGCCTTTGCATCTTCATAAAACAAAAAACAAAAAACACACACCATCAGCCAGACATTATTTAGTTTATGCATGTTATCTTGGATGAAGATGATGGGACTGCCAATTTTGTTTTCTCCCACATTTGAATTTCTATCCCTTTGCAAATTTCAGCAAGTTCTTATCAAAAATGAACGGAATGAAATTCTCATCCATCTGTCCTACCATTTCAGCTGGCCAAATCCAATAGACAAAGCTATTCCAAGCATATAGAAGACTATTCTCTGCCAGCCATGTGGTTGTTGAAGATGAGATATTGCCAAAGGGAAAAAAGAAGGACAGAGACAGCAAATTTAATTCAGCACCAAATACTCAGTTGGATACACCGGGATTCAAACTTAGAGGTGAGCCTTCTGTCTGGGTGGGTGTATGTGAACACGTCACTTTGTGTACATGTCACTTTATTATACTCTCTGTCTCTAATTTAAAAAGAAATGTGAGAAACTGTAAAAGTGTTTGCTAAAAAAAGCAGATTCCCCGTTTTTCCTACTCATAGGTTGATTTTTATCAGAGATAAGACTCTGATAATAAATTAGTAAAAAAGATTATTCATCAGAAATTACACCAGATTAACTCAACTACATGGTATTTCAGGATCCTATAAAGAGAGATTATAATACAAGACAAAAAACAAACAAACAAACATAAAACCAGGACATGACGTGTTTCTGTTGTACCCACTATAGGCTATTTTCCTTTAAAAACAATACAGGAAGTTTTACATGGGAAAAAATAAACAAACAGAATTGACTACTAAAAATGATCAAATACAAACTTTACTCAATATCAGACTAGCAAGATAAATGGAACCCAGTTCAAATCAAGGTAAACTAAATGAGTTTGCTATTAGTGTTGTGCTGAAAGGCACATTGGTCCCTGCCGCAATAAAAGTCCTTCCCATCTTGCAATGAATATATGCATCAATTTTCTAAAGGGTGCAAAAATGAAGAAAGCAACTGCAAGATGGGAAGGATAAGCAACATCCCCCCTCTGCCAAACAAAAGGCTGAGAATTCCTTTCATCTTAATCCATATGTGGATGTATGGGCCCATATGGATACATAGCCCACTCCAAGCAATGCAACATACAATAACAATATCCAATAATGAGGGAAGAAAAAAGTTAACATTGTGTTACTAACAAAGATCCTTTTTCTTTCTTTTACTTTAACAGCAAGTCACACACATATCATGACCCAATGATGTTTCTGAAATGTAAAGGGTTCACCCAACCATACAAAATCTAATTATAGTAATTTTCCCATCAGTGTCAAATCATTGGCCTTGTTTTGCATCAGTATCAATTATGTGAAGAAACGTAGGTGTGCATTTCTGGAAGACAAACCTGGGTTGCTAGGTGGCAGCCCTGAAACCCAAGGCCACACCATAATATCTTTCTCTGAAATGTTCCCAGTTCCATTTGCAGTGCCAGCTATTCATACAGAACTGAAAGGTCTCAATTTGTAAACAATGTGATCTATATAGAAAAAGGGATTATATTTGTATGGAACTAAGGCAAAAAACTGTTGAAATGAAAACTGAAGAGAGCTCAAAACTCCAGAATATCCAGAGGTTGCTCAAAGCATAAATGACAGCAACTCAAGCTGAAATGTATACTACATATGAAGCAAGTCCAAGAAGCTACTGCCTTGGTTAATGAACAGTGTTGCTACTGGACAAGTCTTCAGAAAAATGACTGCAGGCATATTGAACTTGGTGACTAAAAAGAAGCTGAATGGGCAGAATCCTATTGGTGTTTGTGTAACTTTGTTGTTGTTTAGTCGTTAAGTTGTGTCTGACTCTTTGTGACCCCATGAACCAGAGCACACCAGGCCCTCCTGTCTTCCACTGCCTCCCGGAGTTGGGTCAAATTCATATTGGTCGCTTTGCAGACACTGTCCAACCATCTCATCCTCTGTCGTCCCCTTCTTCTCCTGCCTTCACACTTTCCCAACATCAG